TCAAAGTTTAAATCGATTTTGTTGGCTGATTTCTTTAAGCATGTTGTTAATCCATTTAGTACGAGTTGGAGTGTTGGAAAATTTCAGAACTGGGCTCAATGCTGGCCCAATTGAGATGGCTGAGTCAACTGGGCTGTTCTTTTCATGCGCCCGTCCCCTTTGGATTTAATTTCAGCCCAAGTCCCCAATAGGGACTCTTAGCTTTCTTGATAGCAATTTAGCATTTTGTATCTTGCAAGCCTTAGTGTCCATTAGGCCTAATTAAATATCATTTTTTTTTAAAAACTGGTAAGAGGTGTGCCATATTAGTTGAGTCATTTATGGCCCTCATAAGACTAGAAATCACATTTTGAGAAAGAGACTTGAGGCGTGCCATAAGCAAAAAAATAAAACATCTGTGGCCCTCGCGAATGTTATAATTTAGATATTAACAAAATGAACTTCGTAGTTTTCTTTAGGAGCGTTAACTATATAATTATCATGGCTATTACTAAAATTCGAGGGTACATTTCATGTGAACCGATTCTTATTTTCAACAAGGTTAAATAGAACGCGTCGTGAATCACGGGTGCATTTCATGTAGCGTGGCTTGCGATGTGTTTTAAATAACCTTGAAATAATTCCTTAAATAAATAAAAGTGGTTCTAAAGTTAAAAAATGCACATAGGTTTGAAAGTGTTTTAAAACCAGTTAGTTAGGCAAATAATAATGATTGAGCAACCGTGCTAGAACCACGGAACCCGGGAATGCCTAACACCTTCTCCCGAGTTAACAGAATTCTGTACCCGGATTTCTGTGTTCGCGGATTATAAACAGAGTCAATCTTTCCTTGATTGGGGATTTTAAACCGGTGACTTGGGACACCATAAATTATCCCAAGTGGCGACTCTGAATCTTAAATAAATAATCCCGTTTCGATTGTCACTTAAATTGGAAAAACTCCCTTATACCCTTTAGGGGGTGGTAAAAAGGAGGTGTCACAACTCTGGCGACTCTGCTGGGGACATCGAACCCAGAATCTCTAGTTCAGGGTTCAAGAATTCGAGCTTAGAATAATTGTTATATTTGGCTTTATTATCTGGTTTATTTATATGTTTGGGCCTATTGTGCTAAATGTTGCTTTTACCGCTTTGATATTGTTGGACTGTATATAAATTGTTACGAAAACCTCCTCTCTCTGAGTCTTCTAAATCATCTGGAAAGGGTGCACTTCGTGTAGCTTCTCTTCTGTTAGAGTCATATCCCAATTTTAGAACGAGGTTCGGACAAGTTGCAAAGCCGGTGAAGCTTCTGTATTCCCGATACGCTGCCCCCCTCGGCTCGAGCTGTTCGCTTGGGTAAGCCAGGTCTAGAACAAATAAACCCAGGTTTTCAAACCTAGTATAGCATAGCCTCATGCTGGATCCCTAGTAGGAACGCTTGTTTGCATCACGTGCATTTGACTTTGGGGACTCAACATAGGGGTTGGGTCCGTCTAGGACAGGTGTACCCGAAATCAAAAGACCATCCTGATGCATTTTTGCTTGCTACTTGCACATTATTCGGATTGCATGTTGACCGGCTTCTAGAATAGGAAAAAAATTGAGAAAAACCAAATTGAGGTGAGAGAGAGGAAATTACCCGCTTGTGAAAAACCTGGTGTCCAAAATATCCCGGAACTCTGCCGAAATTTTTGAAAAAAAAAAGATATTTCAAATGTTTATGTTTTCTGTTGAGTCAAAATTGACCGAACTACGCAAGTTTGATTCTCACCGGATGTGGGATACGTAGGCAACCCTCATCGGGACCAACTCCATTTTTGCAAATATATATATATATATATATATATATATATATATATATATATAATAACCAAAAATATATGAAGTGTCGTTATTTTGTCACCAATAAAGTAGGTAGTGCCGTTCTTGTCCAAAATAGCCAAAATGCCCCAAAAGGCACCTTAAGGTTGTTTTTGCAAGAATAGCCACCTAAGATCCTCTTTCAATTTTTTTGATTAATTAGCAAGCACAACCCTAAAATCTTCTTTCCTATGGGGCTGAAGGGCTGTATTCGCAAAAGTGTTTTGTTTTAAATTGCTACTTTCAAAATTGGTATTTTTTTTCTCTTGAGTCAAAATAAAATCATGGTCTTTTAACCGATCACTATAATTAAATGTGTAGGATGAGCACGATTGAAAATGAACCTTTCACAGTCCTTGAGGAAATCCCTTTAGAACTCCACATGTGGTGGAATGATTTAGGAGAAGTCAGCAGAGATACTGTGGTAAGAGCTTTGGGCGGTCTTGTTGGCCTTCTGAAGATTAAGCCTAGGACGGATATAATTGAGGCTTTGATACCTTTTTGGGACCCAGCGCATAATGTATTCAATTTTGCCAATTTTGAGCTAACCCCTACGCTTGAGGAAATGGCGGGCTACGCTGGTTTTAGAGGGAATCTCATAAATCAATACCCAGTGGCACCTAGAGCAGTGACTCCTCATAAGTTTCTGGATCTTTTAAGCATCAGTCGGGAAGTTAGAGACGGAAATTTGGCAAAAGGGTTCTGCACATTCTACTTCTTGTACCGACGTTACGTGGATCCCCATGGTTTTGAAATCCCAGATACCGGTCTAACTCATTCGGGGAACAAAGATAAATGGGAAGCCCGACGGGGATTGGCTTTTATAGTGGCATTCCTGGGCGTCTTAATTTGCCCAAGAAAGGATGGAAACATAGAATTGGGGCTTTTGGGAATAGCCGACTTCATGACTAAAAAGGCTAATGGCACCATTGTACCAATGATCTTAGCGGAGATTTACCGAGCTCTAACTGTTTGCCGAGGAGGAAAGTTTTTGAGGGGTGCAATATGCTTCTACAACTCTGGATGGAGGAACACCCTGCCACCGTCCGGGGTACATGAACTGCGGTATGACCGGTCCTAAATGCATTGAAAAACATAAAGACCGGGTGAAGGGCCACGAGTTTCCGGAAGGTACGAAAGCATGGTTCACACTTTTGAGCTCCCTGACTGCAAGCCAAATTGAGTGGACATTCGGGTGGCTCTCGGTCAGTGAAATCATTTACATGTCGGCCAAAGTATTTTTTCTTCTATTGATGGGTCTCCGGAGCATCAACCTTATGTCCCACACAGGGTTCTACGCCAGCTAGGCAGGTGCCAGACTATCCCGCATGATGAGGATTTGAGTCGTCGGGTCATCGAAATAGGACCAAAAGCTGTTTTCCCGGAAGAAAAGGTGTGTCGAATTTGGCATCAATGTAGGTTCCTAGAGCCAAGGGCTCAGGTACGGGATCTGTCCAGAGGCGAGTTGGAGCCTAGTTACACAACTTGGTACGGTAAAAGGTCTCAAGTCCACCAAGAACTCGATCGGCCTGCCAAAAGGCCCCATGTCCAGCAATTCACTGATGGGGCACAAGAGCAATGGGATTGGTTGGCAAAAGAGGCAAGCTACAGAGCCACAATAAGCAAATTGGAGGGGCAAATCCGAGATCTTAAATTTGACAAAAGTGTACAGCCCGCTACTGACGAAGGGGAGAAGAAGAAATTGACCCAAGAAAACAAGGCCCTTCGAGCCCAGATCCAAAAAATGAAGATAGCTGCTGAGAATCAGGAAAGGAGACGAAAGGGTGAAAGACTCATAAATGGTCTTAGGAAGAAAATAGCTGAATGCGAGGATGATTTGGAAAAATTCGAGAGTAATCTATCCAGAGCTCGGGCACAACTAGCGAAGAACGCAGAGGGACGAGCAGAGTTTGTCCGGCAACTAAAAAGAAAATATGAGGGAGAAGCCACCAATTTGAAGGAAAAACTAACTACCCTCGAGAACGAAATGGCCAAACAAACAAAGAGCTTCAAAGCAGAAAGAGAACACTGCTATGCACTGATGTCGCAGCTAGAGAAAGACCTGCAACAGCTTCAAGAGCAAAATCATACAGCTGAACAAGTTTGGGGGCCAGATCTCAGTAGATTGGACGGTTGCTTCAAGAGAAGGGTATTATTAGAGAAATGGTTAGGAGCATTGTGGACTACATTGTGATGAAGTGCAACGAATGTGAGGACATGACTAGGTCCATGTTCTTCACTTCCGTTATGATCTTTGTCTGACAGATCATGGATGACCTATTTCGCCTTCAAGAAGATATGGCGCATAGGCCCGCGGCGAGACCGACTGATGTTCCGCGGGCCCCAAGAGCAGTAATTGAGGCACTTATGTATTCATGATTTTTATTCGAGTCTGTATTTTCGGTTTCTTTGTAGTCTGTTAGTCCATTTTTGAGTCTGTATTTTCATTTCTCTGTGGGAGTCTGTTGGTCCCCATTTTTGAGTCTGTTAGTTTTTATAATTAAATTCTGTAGGAGAAGTCGTTGTAACCAGGATGTTTGCTTTTATTTTATGAAAAATTGAAAACCCAAAAAATGTATCTTTTTTATTTTATTTTACAGTTACCCCCAGAACTACGCTCGGTCTGATTCATGCGGCGTCGTGATACGTAGGCAATCCCCATAGGATTCGATCATAACCGTAAAATGAAAAGAAAAAAGAGAAGAGAGAACAAGGAAAACTGTGGGAAAGAAATAATGGCAAAACAAGAGAGGAAAAATGAGAGAATAAAAGAATAAAAACAAGAATTAAGCAAAGAAAAGCAGGAATGATAAAAAAGAGAAAGAAATAACAAAATGAAAGTTAGTGAAAGCAGGGATGACGCAAGCAGCCGTTCAAATGCATAATAGAAATGGTTAACTGCTTAGGTGCATTGCATCCCCAACGTGCGGTTGCCTATCTGCTAAGCTCTTAGTCGCTAACAAGTTTGCTTGTTGTCATCAAGCACATGAGGTGGTTAGTTTGTTTGGCATTCTGGCTACTCACCCATACAACACGAGGTCCAAAGACAAGTTGATCATGGCTGGCCAAGAACTGGATGCAAGTGTTATTGATTCGTCAAGGGAGGGGGAGGAATCTGATGTTAATCTGAAATAAGAGTTACATAAGTTGAAACACCAGATGGCAGAGATGTACCAGGCATGGGTGAAAGGGCATCCACCACCATCATACCCTGCCAACCCTGCTTTCGTCCCGCCGCAGGCTCAATCCCAAGAACCTCCCACTGTTGATTCATCTCCAGGCTTCCCCATTTACCACCACTACCAAGGCACCACTTCCCAAACCCCACAAACACCACCACCCAAACCAATCCCATATCCCCCTCCACCAACCACCCCTGTTTTCGTGTCACCCCCACCCGCTGCACTCCATCGATCCTCCATTGAGCCCTTATTCCAGACCCAAGATAACCAATATTATCCCCCAGAGCCTACTTTCAAGGCCCCAGAGCATTACTCCTACACTCCTCATTTTGACCTCCCAGTTGAGACTGAGAAACCACCTAAAAACCCAGAGCAAGAGGAGATGTTCAGGAAGGTAAGAAGCCTGGAACAATCGTTCAGAAACATGCAGGGATTGGGAGGCTAGGTGAGCGTAGCCTACAAAGATTTGTGCCTATTTCCCGATGTTCTGTTGCCCGTGGGATTCAAGATGCCGAAGTTTGATTTGTATGACGGGCACGGAAACCCGGTGGCCCATTTGAGGGGTTTCTGCAGTAAAATGAGAGGAGCCGGTGGGAAAGATGAGCTATTGATGGCATACTTTAGCCAGAGTCTGAGTGGCGCGACATTGGATGGTACACTCGTCAAGATCACAGCAGATGGTATACCTGGGATAATTTGGCCCAAGCATTCTCTCGTCATTTCCAATACAACATTGAGATTGTTCCAGATTGTTTGTCTCTGACTAAAATTGAGAAGAAGCCTAGTGAAAGTTTCAGAGAATATGGTTTTCGCTAGAGAGAACAAGCGGCAAGAGTCAACCCTCCAATGGAGGAGAGCGAAATGGTGGAGTACTTTCTGCAGGCTCCGGAGCCTACTTACTTTGGCCATCTGATATCGGCCATAGGCAAGTCTTTCAACGAGGTAGTGAAGATGGGTGGCATGGTGGAAGAAGGGCTTAAATCAAGAAAAAACATGAGCTACTCGGCCATCAAAGCAACTACCCAAGCCATTCAGAATGGTACTAGAGGAGTGATCGGAAAGAAGAAGAAAGAAGATGAGGCAAGAGTTGATTCAGGCTCATGGTTTGGACCGAGGGGCCCGTCACACCATTATACCCAGCCTCGACCCCATCACCGAACCTACACCCAAACCCTATATAGTCCACCCCAACACTACTTCCCATCACTAGACCCTCCAATTTCTGTCCACCATGCCCAGACATATACTCAACCTCCCGCCTACGCACAATGGCGTGCCCCAGCCTCACAAAACACCTACCCAACTCCACAAAATGCTTACCCACCCCCACGAACCTACGAAACCCTGCCGGCCTAGGTTTCCGACCCAATCCAGCATTCAAAAACGAGAGGTCAGCGGAAGAAAACTTTTACCCCGTTGGGGAAGCCTTATACCAGTTTATTCCATAGATTGAGGTAGTTGTATATGCTGAGGCCTGTTGAGTTGAAATTGCCAAACCCTCCTCCAAAGAACCTTGATTACTCCGTGAGCTGTGAATATTGTTCTGGTACTCCGGGGCATGATACGGAGAAGTGCTAGCACTTGAAAAATGCCATCCGGGAGCTCATTGACACAAACCAGATTGAAGTCCAAACTCGAGAGGCACCCAACATCAATAAGAACCCATTGCCAACCAATGAGGAAACAAACATGATTGAGATAGTACACAAAGGGGGGAGCCCAAAAAACTTTCACAGTCCGTTATGATGATTCGGTCCAGTGAGGTCAAGCCAGTCAAAAAACCAACGGTTGAAGGATCAGTGAACAAGTCGAGCACGACAAACGGGGAACCATCTGTGATAGTTAAGAAAAGACCCCCAAGTGATGTCGCAGCAAAGCAAGAAAAGTCAAAAGTGGTTGTGCCAGGGTTGGAAAACAAGCCTATCAAAATTATAGAGGGTGCCCGTACGGATCCTGTCATCATCAAGCCTGTAACCCAGTTGCCGGTAATCAATACCAAGGCTATCCCATGGAACTATGAACGGGTGATACTGACCTATAAGTAAAAGGAAGTGAAAGAAGAATTCAATGAGGCCCAAGGATTAACTCGTTCGGGGAGATGCTTTGCCCGGAAGAGTTAAGGAAAGCTAAAACATCTAGAGATAATCCAGCTCTAGTAAAGAAAGTAGTCACTGAAGAAGAAGCGGAGTTTTGAGAAAAATGAAGGTACAAGATTACTATATCGTGGAGCAGTTGAGAAAGACGCCCGCTCAGATTTCCTTGCTGTCATTGTTGATCCACTCAGATAAGCATCGTCGGGCCCTGATGAAAATTCTGAGCGAAGCTCATGTCCCCGACAAAATTTCAGTAAACCATCTGGAGAAAATCACCAACAAGATACTTGAGGTGAACAGGATCACCTTCTCTAATGATGAGTTGCCTGTGGAAGGTACTGAACATAACAAAGCTCTCTATCTTACGGTAAAATGTGAAGATTCCGTGGTCACCAGGTTATTAGTTGACAATGGTTCCAGTGCAAACATCTGCCCTCTCTCTACTCTGAACAAGTTGAAAGTTGATGATGAGAGGATTCACAAGAACAGCATATGCGTTCGAGGTTTTGGCGGTGGAGGAAAAGACTCAGTTGGTGATATAGTGCTTGAATTGACAATAGGACCGGTGGAATTCACCATGGAGTTCCAAGTATTGGACGTAGCTGTCTCTTACAATTTGCTGTTAGGTCGGCCTTGGATACATGCTGCCAAAGCAGTCCCGTCCACTTTGCACCAAATGGTCAAGTTCGAGTGGGATAGACAGGAGATTATCGTGCATGGTAAGGAGAATTTGTGTGCTCACAGTGATGCCTCTGTCCCCGTTCATTAAGGTTGAAGATGACAAAGGGCCTTGGGTCTATCAAGTTTTGGAAACAGTGCCACTCGAGAAGGTTCCAGAAGGGAAATGTATTCCAACTCCAAAGATAGCCTCTGCGTCCGTCATAGCGGCCTTTGAAATGCTGAAAAATGGCTTTGTGCCAGGTAAAGGTTTGGGTGCATCCATGCAGGGTATCATACAGCCAGTGTCCCTCCCTGAAAACTTGGGCACGTTCGGTCTTGGATTCAAACCCACAGTGGCAGATATGAAAAGGGCTAAAAGGTTGAAACAGAAGGCGTGGGCACTTCCGAAGCCTATCCCGCGTCTCTCCAGGTATTTTGTCAAGCCCGATACCAGGAAACGCCCAGTGACGACAGTTCCAAGTTCTGTGGTTGACATTGATGAGGAGTTAATTGGAAGGTTCCAGAGGTTGTTTGATGATGTGAACATGGTAGAAGTTGGAGAAGGTTCTAGCAAAGCGGACGTGCAGTTCGTCGAGCCGAATGTAAAGTTTAACAATTGGAAGGCCACTTCTCTCCCTACTCGAAAGGAGTCTTGGTAGTTTGTTTTGTTTTCCTTTCTATTTGGGTCATTCTAGGGTTGTGACCCAGATTTTTATTTTCTGCTTGTTGATGTACAAACCCTGTTATCCTTTATTTTCGATGAAATGCAATTTCCCTTCTCCATCATTCCTGATAGTTTTATTTTTGTTTTCTTTTATTCTCTGTACAATTCTTTTTATGCTAGTTTCAATGACATGACATGCATGAGGAATCCTCGACCAAGTCTTATAAGTCAATCTAATTCTGAAATAATAATCCAGGAAATAGAGTGTGATGATGAATTAGAATATGATGAGGATGAGGCATTTGAGGAGATTAGTAAGGAATTAAGTCATTTTGAAGGAAAACCCAAGCCTAATTTGAATGAAACGGAAGCAATCAACCTAGGGGATCCAGATAATGTCAGAGAAACTAAGATAAGTGTCCATCTTGAACCACAAGTCAGGGAAGAAATAATTAAGGCATTGTTTGAATATAAGGATATTTTTGCATGGTCGTATGATGACATGCCAGGCTTGAGTACCGATCTGGTGGTCCACAGATTGCCAATTGATCCAGCATTCCCTCCCATTAAGCAGAAGTTGAGAAAGTTCAAAACTGACATGAGTGTGAAGATTAAAGAAGAAGTCGCAAAGCAGCTTGATGCAAAGGTCATTCGAGTCACGCGGTATCCGACGTGGTTAGCCAATGTTGTGCATGTGCCAAAGAAAGATAGTAAGACCAGAGTGTGTGTTGATTACCGCGACCTCAACAAAGCAAGTCCAAAGGACAATTTCCCACTGCCAAGCATCCACATTTTGATTGATAATTGTGCCAAGCATGAGATTGGGTCTTTTGTGGTTTGCTATGCAGGGTATCATCAGATTTTAATAGATGAGGAAGATGCGCAAAATACGGCATTCATCACACCGTAGGGAACATATTGCTATCGGGTCATGCCTTTTGGTTTGAAAAATGGTGGGGCAACTTACATGAGGGCAATGACTACCATATTCCATGACATGATACATAAGGAGATTGAGGTCTACGTGGATGATGTGATCATAAAGTCCAGGAAGAATTCTGACCACGTCAGAGATTTGAGAAAGTTTTTTCAAAGGCTCCGCAGGTACAATCTTAAGCTCAACCCTACAAAGTGTGCATTTGGTGTTCCATCTGGCAAACTGTTGGGGTTCATAGTCAGTGGGTGGGGCATTGAGTTGGATCCGTCAAAGATCAAAGCTATCCATGAATTATCGCTGCCAAAGAACAAGACCGAGGTGATGAATCTGCTAGGGAGGCAGAACTACATCAGCAGATTTATTGCTCAGCTCACGACAACTTGTGAGCCCATCTTTAAGTTGCTAAAGAAGGATGTTGCGATCAAATGGACTGATGAGTGCCAGGAAGCATTTGATAAGATCAAAGATTATTTGTCGAACCCGCCTGTGTTGGTCCCGTCGGAATCCGGGAGACCTTTGATTCTTTATTTGATAGTCTTGGACAATTTGTTTGGCTGTGTATTGGGTCAACATGACATCACTGGCAGGAAGGAGCAAGCCATCTATTATCTCAGCAAGAAGTTCACATCTTATGAGGTTAAGTACACTCAACTTGAAAGAACATGTTGCGCCCTGACTTGGGTGGCACAAAAGTTGAAGCACTATTTGTCATCCTACACTACTTACCTCATTCCTCGTCTGGATCCTTTAAAGTACATCTTTCAGAAGCCCATGCCCACAGGAAGGCTCGCAAAATGGCAAATCTTGCTCATAGAGTTTGACATTATCTATGTGACTCGGACCGCGATGAAAGCCCAAGCATTGGCCGATCATTTAGCCGAGAACCCGGTCGATGAAGAGTATGAACCATTGAGAACTTATTTTCCCGATGAAGAGGTGATGCATATTGACGAGGTGGAGCAGGTTGAAAAACCAGGTTGGAAACTTTTATTTGATGGAGCCACTAACATGAAAGGCATCGGGATAGGGGCCGTGCTTATTTCTGAAACAGGGCATCACTACCCTGTTATGGCTCAGCTTCATTTCTATTGTACCAACAACATGGCTGAGTACGAGGCATGCATTTTGGGTTTGAGGTTAGCTGTAGACATGGGTGTCCAGGAAGTCTTGGTCTTGGGAGACTCGGACCTTCTGGTGCACCAGATTCAAGGAGAATGGAAAACACGGGATTTAAAGCTCATACGGTATCGCCAATGTTTGCATGATCTTCGTCAACGGTTTCGATCAGTAGAGTTCAGGCATATTCCAAGGATCCATAATGAGGTTGCCGATGCTTTGGCTACCTTGGCGTCAATGTTGCACCATCCGGACAAAGCTTATGTCGACCCTCTGCATATTCAAGTTCGTGA